TCAAACTCTGCACTCAACACCATACCCTCAACAATCAGACCTTAGTAACAGCACTCGTGCCATGCACATTCAATTCAAACCTTGCAATCTCTACAACCAGTCTCAGCCCAGCACATTCAGTCACACCACACTCTGCCCAATGCATTCAGACACACGGCACTCTGCCCAGTGCATTCAGACACTCTACACTCTGCTCGTTGCATTCAGACACACCATACTCTGTCCAGTGCATTCAGACACTCTACACTCTGCTTGTTGCATTCAGACACACCACACTCTGCCCAGTGCATTCAGACACCCGGCACTCTGCCCAGTGCATTCAGACACACCACACTCTGCCCAGCGCATTCAGACACTCTACACTGTGCTCAGTGCATTCAGACACTCTACACTGTGCTCGTTGCATTCAGATACACCATACTCTCCAGTGCATTCAGACACTCTACACTCTGCTTGTTAAAATCCCTTCAGTTACTTACCTGAATCCAGCACCGATGTCCCTTGGTGTTGGGTCAGACTCCGCCCACGCCCCTAACGTGACGTCGGCCGGGGATAACTAATGCATAAATGTCCACACTCTGCCCAGTGCATTCAGACACACGGTACTCTGCCCAGTGCATTCAGACACACGGCACTCTGCCCAGTGCATTCAGACACACCACACTCTGCCCAGTGCATTCAGACACTCTACACTCTGCTCGTTGCATTCAGACACACCATACTCTGCCCAGTGCATTCAGACACTCTACACTCTGCTCGTTGCATTCAGACACACCACACTCTGCCCAGTGCATTCAGACACACGGCACTCTGCCCAGTGCATTCAAAAACACCACACTCTGCCTAGTGCATTCAGACACTCTACACTCTGTCCGGTGTATTCAGACACTCTACACTCTGCCCAGTGCATTCAGACACACGGCACTCTGCCCAGTGCATTCAGACACACCATACTCTGCCTAGTGCATTCAGACACTCTACACTCTGCGTGGTGCATTCAGACACACCACACTCTGCCCAGTGCATTCAGACACACCATACTCTGCCCGGTGCATTCAGACACACCATACTCTGCCCGGTGCATTCAGACACTCTACACTCTGCCTGGTGCATTCAGACACACCACACTCTGCCTGGTGCATTCAGACACACCACACTCTGCCTGGTGAGTTCAGACACTCTACACTCTGCCTAGTGCATTCAGAAACTCTACACTCTGCCCAGTGCATTCAGGGCACATCACACTCTGCCTAGTGAATTCAGACACACCACACTCTGCATGGTGCATTTAGACACACCACACTCTGCATGGTGCATTTTGACACACGGCACTCTGCCCAGAGCATTCAGACACACCACACTCTGCCCAGTGCATTCAGACATACCACATTCTGCCCAGTGCACACGCTACACACATCATTCACATATAACTCCAGCATGCACATTGTTCTCACAACATGTTACTGTTTTTGGGGGGCAGGTATGGGACATCTGAAAGCTCTCTGCCTACAGACATCTTAGTTGGGAATCTAACACTGTAGGTACGTTTGTTAATTTCCTCTCATCCTCTTTACTAAATAACTGATAGAACTGTCCACCTGTTGTCTTTCTTCGAGATCTACAGGCATGATTGCCACTAAATATCCAGAGCAGAAATGCGAAGGATGCCAAGGAAGCAGATTAATCTTGCGGCTGACTATGTCAGGGCTGTAATCCAGGACACCAGGGATTCAGATATATCTCAGCAGCCAGTTTTATTCCACAGCTGTGAACAGCTCTGGGTCTTTAGGCATTATCACATAACAAATGCTCCTTCTCATTCCGTGCATCTGTGACAGACTTGGCTACCAGTGAGGTCTCCACTAGTGATGCTCTGTGTTCTGCTCTGAGCTCCTATGGACTCTCTGCATGTCTTTCTCACACTGGAACAGGAAACCCACCAACACATCTATAACCTGCAACAATTAGCTCATTTACATGATGTGTTGTCAGCTGTTTTATTTATTTTTTTATTAAAGCTTGGGAAATTAAGGATTTTCAAATGACAGGTTAGTGTAAGTGATCCTTGGAATTCCAGATGCAGTGGACTACATCACCCACAATGCTTATTAAACATATTGACTGCACCCTAGAGCTGAGGTTGTCTATTTTAAAGATGTCCCGGTGTTCTGTCAGAAATCTGGACCCTTCTAGTGTGGTGACGCAAAATCAGCTGTGATCCGTTCTGCACATGCGTGCTAGCACACCCGACTGGTCCAAAAATCTGATGCAGGGTGCAAGCATGAGCGAGACCCCCATCTCACTCTCTGTACCAGACGCGACGAGGGTCTGGATTTCTGATGGATGCAGAAATATGACTCAACATCGGTATTCTATATCTTAAAATGTAACATAAGAGCTAAGAGTATTTTAAATTTAGCTCAAAACATTTGTTTTATATTTCTAAACATTAACTCTGACAGAACAGGCAACATCTGGCTATGCACAAAGCATAATGGAGGGAGCACATACCCATATATGCTGCCTCTATTCTCATTTGGATATTACTGTGTCCCAGGATGTGCAAGGACGTGATTAAAAAACAAAACCATGCCCATGTTGGAAACAATGACAAGAATGCAATGCACACACTGTATCTGTTACATATGTTGGTGATGCCAAAAACCCTCAAGATCTTTTAAAGGAGCACTATAGTGTTAGGTAAACAAAGCTGTACTCTGGTGGCAGAGATACACCCCTATGGCGATTAAAGGGTTAATAAAACCTTCACACACTGTTTTTATTCAAGCGCCTGAAGAACTGGGATCCTCTCTGCCTCTTTCGATGTCTTTATGGGGAGCTAATGTGCATATTTTGCAAGTGCCGCGCACCTTAGGACTTTCTCATAGGAAATCATTGAATCAATTTTCAGTTTCAGAAGAGGCTGGAGGTCCTCATGCAGAGCATGCAGTGTTGTTTCATGCCATTAAACACCATGAAACAGCAGGAAGCATGTAAAAATCACCCAAAAAAGAAAATAATCAAGGTTTTGCAATGGCCCAGTCAAAGTCCAAATCTCAACACGATTGAAATGCTGTGGTGGGACCTTAAGAGAGATGTGCATGAACATATATGTGTGATGTGTATCTGTGTGTGTGCGTCTGAGTATGTGAGTCAGTATGTCTCGGAGTGTGTGTTCCAGTATGTCTGTGTGTTCCAGTATGTCTGTCACTATATGTGTCTGTGTACATGTATGTTATCATTGTGTGTGCATGTCTGTTGTCAATTTGTGCCTCTGTGTATCTGTATGTAGTCAGTGTATGTATGTATGTGTGTCTGTGTATGCCCATTTCAACCAGGAAGTCCTCTGGTGGATGTCTGGTAGAGACAGCCACTTGAGGTCGAGTTAACGCTGGATAATAATTATTGCAGTTTCTCAATAACTGCAATAACTACCATTGCAGGGTTAAGAGACATGGGTCATTGCACCCTGTGGCAGAACCACTGCTTATTCGTCTATTTTCCACTTGTATTGTGTGTTTCCCCTTGTATTTCGTATGCTGTGCCTTGTTTTCCCGTTCGGGGGTGTCCATACGTAGAGAACCCATTCATCTCCCGAATGGGGACAACCCCGGTAGCCCATTAGAATTTTCACCCCAATTAAATAGAACGTTCACACCAGTAACATAAGTGCGAAACCGCAAGGGAAGTAATTAATGAGTGCTCCCCTGGGTGGCCGCCATTTCGTATAGATGAACGCCAACCAGGGGGAGAAGTCACATGCCGAAAGGAGGCGCTTCCCTTGCATGGTGTTCGCACAGGAGCAATGTACCGTGTGGGGGTTCCTACGGTTGGTGGGGACACTTTTGGGGCACTGGCTATTTTGCCGGGCATTCTGTGCCAGGGAGACAAAGAGACTAGGTCCCCTTTTTCCGCGCCCAGGCTCCCAGACACAGAGGCTTCTGGGATGAACGACCCCTTTCGTTTGGCTCGGAAGGCCCCCTTGAATGTGGGGCTGGCTTTCTGTACCTGAGAGACAAAGAGACAGGGCCCTTTTTCTGCTCCTTGGCTCCCAGGTACACAGGATCCTGGGATGTGAACCCCTGTCTGCTTGTGTAGAAGACCCCTTGCAGGGGGTTATGCATAAAAGCTGTGTGTGGTACAATAAAATCGTGTTGTACTCCCAGAACTGTGTCTTGTCCAGTTACTGGGGGGGAAATGGAGGTCTGTTCCAGAGTGGCTAAAGGAAGGAATTAGCGGAGGTAACCGGTCGGGTTACCCAGGGTTCGCTACACACCCATACCACTTCCATTAGCTGAAGTGATCTGGGTGCCTACAGTGTCCCTTTAACACTATAGGGTCATGTTAGGACCTCTTAATGCAAGTCACTGTAGGATAATTTAGTTCTTGGCTTGACAAACCATAGAAGCTCAGTGACGATTATTCAGTGAAACAAAAAAAAGTCGAGCTCCGAATGTCTCGAATAACTTTATTGTGTTGAAATTAGTAATTTAGAGTGCACTTGACGCACTCCAACTACTTTATTTGCTACTTTAGTTGCTATTTCCAGGCACAGATGATAACATGTCTTGTTTATAGTCCCGGCAGCCCAAATTCCCAGAGCAGTAAACATAACTAACAGCTGTCTGCCTATCAGCGAAGCAGATTGCAATTATCTAAGTGACCTAATTATTTAATCCATTAGAGAGTCATCTGTTTAGGTCATCCTGCACTTTAACTGTGGGAAGCTCTAAAACATTGCACATCCTGTGTGAATTGGGACCCGAAGGACAAATGTAAAACATTAGAAGACATAAGTAGAGAAATATTCATGGCTGTATCATGCAATTCAGTGCTTGTTTCTTTTAATGTCAGTGTTAGTAGGTCCAACTGTTGATTTAATTTTGGATTCTTGTTGATTGACAGTGTTGCCAAAATGTTCAAATCATTTTGAAAACATTTTTTTTAAAGCTTTTTTACGTTTCCATAAACCAACACCAATAAAGGTTATATTTTTGCAGACTTGTCTTGGAAGAACTCACACAGAAGCTAACCTTTGGCTTTCGTTTTTGGAACGTGGGCGACCTTTTGGATGAAACTGAGAAGACCCAGGAAATACTTGGCAACTTCGTCAGTCAGACATTAGAAGATGAAACCGTTAACCCTGGACACAGTCAGAAAAATGTGAGGCTTTTTCCAATGAAGAACTGCAATGTAAATATTAACATCTATCTTTATCGTTTGAAATTTTTGTCACATTATATTTATTTTTAAAAAGTTTCAACACTGCATTTTGTTTATCAAGCAGTGAGATTTTCATCAGAGTTTTAAAATAATATAAATCTTAATTGGAATGAGTTAATAAATAATTAATATTTACATAATAAATATGAACAGTAAAACAAATATGCTGCAATGATAGAAACATGCGATCTTATTTAGAAATCATCGCAAAAGCACAGTTTATGCATACATTAATAATTTGCTTTGTTTGCAATTAAACTGATATTCATATAAGTGTTGGTGTTTTCTGTGCACACAATATCCATGATAAATGTGACAGTGATTTGTTTCTCAGTTGTAACCAAAAACTAATAATCAATTGATTATTATTAATTGAGTAAATAATATTTATACAACCACTCCTGATGATCAGTATCATAGGAGAATGACAACAAGGAACATTGCTACATTGTTGCAGTGGGCAAAAGCCTCATATTTTTTCGTGTAACAGTCATGGACTCTTTACGACTTTCTCACAAACATGGTGGACAAAATTCACTGCTCTAGAACATCAAACTAAACCGACGATATATTATGTGAGTAAATAACTACCAAACCCATACAGCAAGTAAAGGTACACCATGTATTAAAAATGTATAAGAAATGAAAGGACTATAGTTTTTGTGATCAGTATTAAATAGGACTACATGACTGATCGATTGATAAAGGTCAACTGTCCCATCCATCTGTGTCATCTCAATCAAGATCCACAATACCTATTCTTGAATGCATTTCTACCAACAGCAGTTTGTCCATCACGAGCATTCTTCTTCTCTGAAGTCTTTATCAGGACTACTGGAATAGTTTTGCATGCATATACATTATCTTCTGTAAAGAAACTTGGCCTGATTTATCCCCTGAGTTTACTTCCCTGAAACTTAACATTATGTCATCTTATTTTATCAACCCTCTTTCAACAGAAAATAGGATAATTTTAATGGAACCTTGAAATACTTCCTTGTTTCTATAATTTTATCTCAATACATTCCCTAAGCAATGCATAGTTCGAGTTTACAAGTCTTTATTATGATTCAGGTCAAGCACCGTTCTTGCAGTCTTTCAAAAAGCCTTATTTATGACTTTCCGAATATAAAGTATCCAGAACTGGACAGTAGGAGCTTTTACAATTAATCAATAAAGTTCATTTGACTAGAAGTATATGTGTATCTCTCTGTAAAGGCTTCAAGTAAATGTTATATTTATTTAAGCTGCCGCTCAAGGCTAAAAAAAAAAATCAAAAAAATCAGGTGGACTATGGACATTTCTTCTCCCAGTTATGTCTGCTTTGGACCAAATACTGTTGGGGGCCACTGCATGTACCAAATGGAATTTTAGTTTCAAATTATATTGTTTTGTTGTTTTTAGCAAACTTGTTTGTAAAATCTAAGGCCATGATACTTTTTTTTTTTTTACTGTAAATGTGATTACTATGATATCTCATTTACTAAATAAATAAAGAACAAAAAAATCCTCAAAATTGTAAAAGCAGTCAGCCAGTAAGCCATTGGCCTGCCCTAGGCATATGGCCAAAGCAATGCCTCCTGGCTAAACATATACAGACAGACGTCTGTCAGAGTGAACACAAATTGCACTTATGCTGATCAGCCACAACATTAAAACCACTAACAGGTGAAGTGAATAACATTGATTATATTGTTACAGTGGCACTTGTCAAGGGCTAGGATCTATTAGGCAGCAAGTGAACAGCCAGTTCTTGAATTTCACGTGTTGCAAGCAGGGATAATGGGCAAGTGAAAAGATCTAAGTGACTCCAGAGCATCTGGAGCAACCTATCGAAAATGGTGCAAGGACAACTGGTAAACCGGCGTCAGGATCATGGGTGCCAAAGGCTCATTGAAGCACATGAGAAAAGGTTAGCCTGCCTGGTCCAATTACACAGAAGAGCTACTGTAGCTCAAATTGCTGAAAATGTAATGCCGGCCATGATAGAAATGTGTCAGAACACACAGTGCATTGCAGTTTGCTGTGTGTGGTGCTGGGAAGCCACAGACTGGTTAGAGTGCCCGTGATAATCCCTGTCTACCACCGAAAACAACTTCAATGGGAATGTGGGCATCAGAACTGGACCATGAAACAATGAAAGAAGATTGGAGAAAAGGTAGCGCCAATAATATATTTATACTGTTAAAAATCTACAAAAATAATAAAATGTGAGTAAGATTTAGTTTCTTTTTACTACTGATTTAATATAAACAGAGAGCACTATTTTTGTTTGTTCTGTTTTTATTTTGGGTCCAATTACTACCATACTGCTAAGAAACTTGACTACTGCATCTACACATATATCCTAGAAGTGGGGATCATACCACTCTACGCCCCTTACACTAGAGCTGGTTTAAACTCTGGTAAATGTGAGTACATCTTATTTTATTTACTATTCCGTCAAGCTATTTGGGATATACTGCACCATTGGATTCCTTTCTCTGCTTCTTTTATATGTTCATATGAATTGCAAGCCACTTCTGACCCAATATTTTGTAGAAGAAGTATATCTTCTGTGACATGGCCTGTTTTTCTGCAAGTTACACTTTATATTTATCTTGGACATTATTGTGGACTTTCTTGCCATTTTATGTGTTAGAAGAGTCTTTTATATTCGTTTCTCCCTTATAAATAAATACATTATTGGCACTTCCTTTTCTCCCTTTTTCTCCATATACTATTTATCCACTTGTGCGATTTGTGAGGGAGCCCCACTGATTTAGGTGAGCGGCCCCTTTTTATTCTGTTGGGATTCTAGAGCACTGATCCATTGTTTTTTCTTTGATACAAATGAAAGAAGATTGCCTGGCCTGATAAATCATATTTTCTTTTAGATCAGGTAAATGGCCGGGTGTGGGCGTGTCATTTACCTGGGGAAGAAATGGCAGCAGGCAAGTAGCACTATGGGAAGAACGCAAGCCAGCGAAGACAAGTGGTATGCTTTGGGAAATGTTCTGTTGGCAAACCTTAGGTACTGGCATTCATGTGGATGTTACTTTGACACATAGCACCTACCTAGAGATTGTTGCAGATCAGGTACAACCCTTCATGGCAATGGTGTTTCCTTTCAGGAGTGTTCAGCAATGGTTTGGGGAACATGACAAAGAGGTCAAGGGGCTGTTATGGCCTCCAAATTCCCCAGATATCAATCTGATTGAGCATTTGATGGAGTGTGCTGCAATCCATGGAGGCTCCATCTAGCAACTTGCAGGACTTCTGCAATGATATGATAGGACACGTTCAGGGTTTTTGTGGAGTCCATGCCTTGATGCATCAGAGATATTTTGCCTGCACGAGGGGGACCTACATGATATTAGACATGTTGATCATGGGACTAAGCCTGGATATGGCTTTCTAAATGCTCAGCCCCCTCATTACTGATTGGCTGTTGGTCCCACCTCCTATATGCTGATTGACTCGCAACCCTGCCCTCTGAGAGGTAGCCCTGTGCTCTTCACAGTAGATCAAGATGATGGAATTATCTACATTACTTGCTGCTCTACACCCACAAACACAGAGTAATTGTGTCATGCTCTGATGTGGGGAGAGCGCATTATACTTAAACAATGGGGTAAAAGAGATTGAAAAAACAACAACGTTTTAAAAAAAACTATTTGGAACTTATTAATAATAAAGTATATTTTTGATAGTAGTGCATATTTATAATACTATCCCCAGGACTGATCCCAAGGAACACCACAAGTAAACACTCACCATGTACCAGTAACACATAACAAATGACATATTAATAAGTTGAATTTGTAGTTCCCCTCTGTAATTCAGCCTTTTGGGTGTTTATTTTGTCTGGTACAGTTTCTCTTCTGTCTGACAGCTTGATGTCAATTTTGGATTAATGGTCTCACACTTTCTGGCAACAACAATGGACTCTAGATTTATCTGATTATATCATTTGGCAAATTAGGATGGAATCATCAGCAGATGTCTTCTTCAGTTTAATGAGTGTTTTCCTCATAAAGAACGATGGGTGTGCGCTTGTCCAATGCATTTATTAGTGTATTCCTACAAACATATGTAGTATACACAGGTGTCGGAAGAGCTCTGTCCTTTTAATTTCCTAAAGAACTGTTCAGGGAAACGTTCTCACACGCTTTGCTCATTTTAGGGGGGAAAAATTATTATTTTTCTCCTCCTGTGATAAAACATTCCTAAATTTCCTGTAGAACAACAACAACAACTAGAGAATAAACTGTGTACTGATAAGTCCTGAATTGGGTCAAGGATAGGTCACACATGGGTTCAACACAGAACACAGAGACTCATTTGAATCTTAGGGTGAAGTATGGGCATGGCAACCAAAGGACTGACTAACTGACCGATAGTATGCAGACTCTTCATCTTTCTTGCCATAAATGTCTTTATGAATACAGGAAGATTAAAATAAATTAGATAAATAAATGCTGCTAAACTAGACCACCATTGTCAATAATTGTGACATTAGGTTCACATTCAAATATTTCATTTTGAGTTTGTAGAAGATAAGTGAGTGCCTTGTAAAGTCTGTGTATCTCCTGAATTCTTTATGAAATGAAATAATGAAGAAATAAAAATAATGTTGTGCAAAATGTAAAAATAACTTACTGAGTCTGTAAATAGGAATTTAAGAATATACATAAATTAAGCCAACTCTTCACAAATGCTACACAAACACATCTAATACTCTTGCTGCAAGTGTTATTCCTGTGTGTCAGTAATACGTAGTTGGACTAATGCAAAACTCCATTGATGGAAGCATTGATGTGTCCAGTCAAATAATTTTATGTCCTAATCAAATATTATTCTTGAAGGTTTTTCTTAATAAATGTTTATCCAATGAACTCTACATTCAATGTCTATTTCTAATTAGTCCAGTATTTCTTCTACTCTGGTGGATGATCTAGAAACTGTATGGTGTGAATTCCTCATGGAAGACATCCATGGACCAGTCCTAATGTATCACTTAGCTCAGGTTATAGGAACTACCTAGTTTCATATCAAGTTGTCTATCAATAAAACTTGTCTTATTGGAGGAATCCATTGTCCACTGTATGAGGTGTGTACCCTGTAAGACTGCAAGCAAAAACCCATAGGCTAACTGCTTTTTACGAACCTAGCAAACAATAAAAATGACAAAATTATAACCTGTCTCAAAGCTCTACCCTTTCAAACAATTTAGGACACCAAGAAGTTGTAAGATCCAAAGGAACCAATCAACTGTGCAGCAGAGTGGACCTATTTTGAAGCGCTGACATAATCTATCTACAGTGACCTGCAACATGTGTTCTGTTTGTTTATCACCACACTTTGGAAACCTGCAAAGGAGCATAAGAACGTATACCCTCAATAAAGGCAAGCTCTCTATCTGTAGTAGGAGCATAACGATTATGGAAGAAAAATAAAAACATGAAAACTATATTATGACCTCAGAACTGTAAGGGTTTATAAACCTCAATGAAGGAAAACAGTATGTGTGTAATGACAGTTGTTAGGAAGAAATATTGCTGTTTAAACTCATTGGAAGCTGTTTTATAGCAGGGTGGAAACTTGCAGGTGTGGGAGATGCATCATATTATGATCTCCTAACATCCCTGTGTCTAGAGAATTGTTATTTGTGTTTTGTTGCTGAGAAATTAAAGATATATGCATCCCGACCTTATCCACCAGAGGACAAAGTTGAAGATTAACACTTTGGCCACCAACGTCTTGCAATGTCCAGGTTACCTATTTAATTCAAGACGTCTAGGGCACCCAAATTCATCCAGAATGCCTTCTTCCACACTTAGTTAGCAATACGCCTTAATTAACCTCTACTAATGGGAGATCACAAAAGGGTTAAACAGAGGATGATGTCAACTCATTTCTCCAATGACTTAATACAATATGGAAAACAAATCACTTGATCACTCTAGCTTATTATATTAGGAGATAGACAGCTGCTTGTTATCATTTATTAAATTAGAGAAAGGTCACATGGGGCTATAAAGTTTATGTTCAGTGAATGCCAAGAGAGTCCGGATATACACACAGAAACCAAAGATGACCTTTTATGAGCGATCCGTCATAATGAAACTCCTTAATTTAAAAAGTAAAAACAATGAAAGACAGACGAACACACATATCCAAAATCATGTCGGCTCCCCAGCAAGATACGGATACTCTAGGAAACAATTACCATTATCCAATCATGGTTTACGACCTGCAGAGCATAATTTATAGCATAGCATGTGTGTACATTAATAAAAGGGGAATAAAGATTATCTATGAAAGAGTCCCAGGAGAACACAGTAGATGCAAAACAGAACATACAAATGTCAACTGAAA